GAACACCTGTGTAAGGTGACAAGCTGTGACCATTTCTGGTCACAGATCATCCTGAAGGTGACCAGCTGTGACCATTTCTGGTCACAGATCATCCTGAAGGTGACCAGCTGTGACCACCTCTGGTCCCAGGTCATCCTGAAGGTAACCAGGTGGGAACACCTGCTTGAGGCGACCAGCTGTGACCACCTCTGATCCTAGGTCATCCTGAAGGTGACCAGCTGTGACCACCTGTGTGAGGTGACCAGCTGTGACCACCTGTGTTATGTGACCAGCTGTGACCACCTGTGCTCACAGGTCATCCTGAAGGTGACCTGAGGCAGGTCATCCTCAAGGTGACCAGAGGCAGGTCATCCTCAAGGTGACCAGAGGCAGGTCATCCTCAAGGTGACCTGAGGCAGGTCATCCTCAAGGTGACCAGATTGTAAACATAAATATCAGTTGTCACAGAGACTCGTTGTACTCATCTAGTTGTACTCACCTAGTTGTACTCACCTAGTTGTACTCATCTAGTTGTACTCACCTAGTTGTACTCACCTAGTTGTACTCATCTAGTTGTACTCACCTAGTTGTACTCACCTAGTTGTACTCACCTAGTTGTACTCACCTAGTTGTACTCACCTAGTTGTACTCACCTAGTTGTACTCACCTAGTTGTACTCACCTAGTTGTACTCACCTAGTTGTACTCACCTAGTTGTACTCATCTAGTTGTACTCACCTAGTTGTACTCATCTAGTTGTACTCACCTAGTTGTACTCACCTAGTTGTACTCACCTAGTTGTACTCACCTAGTTGTACTCACCTAGTTGTACTCATCTAGTTTGTACTCACCTAGTTGTACTCACCTAGTTGTACTCATCTAGTTGTACTCACCTAGTTGTACTCACCTAGTTGTACTCATCTAGTTGTACTCACCTAGTTGTACTCACCTAGTTGTACTCATCTAGTTGTACTCACCTAGTTGTACTCACCTAGTTGTACTCATCTAGTTGTACTCACCTAGTTGTACTCACCTAGTTGTACTCACCTAGTTGTACTCACCTAGTTGTACTCACCTAGTTGTACTCATCTAGTTGTACTCACCTAGTTGTACTCACCTAGTTGTACTCATCTAGTTGTACTCACCTAGTTGTACTCACCTAGTTGTACTCACCTAGTTGTACTCACCTAGTTGTACTCACCTAGTTGTACTCACCTAGTTGTACTCACCTAGTTGTACTCACCTAGTTGTACTCACCTAGTTGTACTCACCTAGTTGTGCTCACCTAGTTGTGCTCACCTAGTTGTACTCACCTAGTTGTACTCACCTAGTTGCACTCACCTAGTTGTACTCACCTAGTTGTACTCACCTAGTTGTACTCACCTAGTTGTACTCACCTAGTTGTACTCACCTAGTTGTACTCACCTAGTTGTACTCACCTAGTTGTACTCACCTAGTTATACTTACCTAGTTGTGCTCACCTAGTTGTACTCACCTAGTTGTACTCACCTAGTTGCACTCACCTAGTTGTACTCACCTAGTTGTACTCACCTAGTTGTACTCACCTAGTTGTACTCACCTAGTTGTACTCACCTAGTTGTACTCACCTAGTTGTACTCACTTAGTTGTACTCACCTAGTTGTACTCACCTAGTTGTACTCACCTAGTTGTACTCACCTAGTTGAGGTTGCGGGGATCGAGTCCGAGCTCCTGGCCCCGCCTCTTCACTGATCGCTACTAGGTCACTCTCCCTGAACCGTGAGCTTTATCATACCTCTGCTTAAAGCTATGTATGGATCCTGCCTCCACTACATCGCTTCCCAAACTATTCCACTTACTGACTACTCTGTGGCTGAAGAAATACTTCCTAACATCCATGTGATTCATCTGTGTCTTCAGCTTCCAACTGTGTCCCCTTGTTACTGTCTCCAATCTCTGGAACATCCTGTCTTTGTCCACCTTGTCAATTCCTCTCAGTATTTTGTAAGTCGTTATTATGTACCCCCTATCTCTCCTGTCCTCCAGTGTCGTCAGGTTGATTTCCCTTAACCTCTCCTCGTAGGACATACCTCTTAGCTCTGGGACTAGTCTTGTTGCAAGCCTTTGCACTTTCTCTAGTTTCTTGGCTAGGTGTGGGTTCCAAACTGGTGCCGCATACTCCAATATGGGCCTAACATACACGGTGTACAGGGTCCTGAATGATTCCTTATTAAGATGTCGGAATGCTGTTCTGAGGTTTGCTAGGCGCCCATATGCTGCAGCAGTTATTTGGTTGATGTGCGCTTCAGGAGATGTGCCTGGTGTTATACTCACCCCAAGATCTTTTTCCTTGAGTGAGGTTTGTAGTCTCTGGCCCCCTAGACTGTACTCCGTCTGCGGTCTTCTTTGCCCTTCCCCAATCTTCATGACTTTGCACTTTGTGGGATTGAACTCCAGGAGCCAATTGCTGGACCAGGTCTGCAGCCTGTCCAGATCCCTTTGTAGTTCTGCCTGGTCTTTGATCTAGTGAATTCTTCTCATCAACTTTACGTCATCTGCAAACAGGGACACCTCAGAGTCTATTCCTTCCGTCATGTCGTTCACAAACACCAGAAACAGCACTGGTCCTAGGACTGACCCCTGTGGGACCCTGCTGGTCACAGGTGCCCACTCTGACACCTCGCCACGTACCATGACTCGCTGCTGTCTTCCTGACAAGTATTCCCTGATCCACTGTAGTACCTTCCTTGTTATCCCTGCTTGGTCCTCCAGTTTTTGCACTAGTCTCTTGTGTGGAACTGTGTCAAACGCTTTCTTGCACTCCAAGAATATGCAATCCACCCACCCCTCTCTCTCTTGTCTTACTACTGTCACCATATCATAGAACTCCAGCAGGTTTGTGACACAGGATTTCCTGTCCCTGAAACCATGTTGGCTGCTGTTGATGAGATCATTCCTTTCTAGGCGTTCCACCACTCTTCTCCTGATAATCTTCTCCATGACTTTGCATACTATACATGTCAGTGACACTGGTCTGTAGTTTAGTGCTTCATGTCTGTCTCCTTTTTAAAGATTGGGACTACATTTGCTGTCTTCCATGCCTCAGGCATTCTCCCTGTTTCGATAGATGTATTGAATATTGTTGTTAGGGGTACACATAGCGCCTCTGCTCCCTCTCTCAGGACCCATGGAGAGATGTTATCTGGCCCCATTGCCTTTGAAGTATCTAGCTCACTCAGAAGCCTCTTCACTTCTTCCTCGGTTGTGTGTACTGTGTCCAGCACTTGGTGGTGTGCCCCACCTCTCCGTCTTTCTGGAGCCCCTTCTGTCTCCTCTGTGAACACTTCTTTGAATCTCTTGTTGAGCTCCTCACATACTTCACGGTCATTTCTTGTTGTCTCTCCTCCTTCCTTCCTTAGCCTGATTACCTGGTCTTTTACTGTTGTTTTCCTCCTGATGTGGCTGTACAACAGTTTCGGGTCAGATTTGGCTTTCGCTGCTATGTTGTTTTCATATTGTCGTTGGGCCTCCCTTCTTATCTGTGCATTATTCGTTTCTGGCTCTACGACTGCTCTCCTTATTCTCCTGGGTCCTTTGCCTTCTATATTTCTTCCATTCCCTAGCACACTTGGTTTTTGCCTCCCTGCATCTTTGGGTGAACCATGGGCTCATCCTGGCTTTTTCATTATTCCTGTTTCCCTTGGGTACAAACCTCTCCTCAGCCTCCTTGCACATTGTTGCTACATATTCCATCATCTCATTAACTGGCTTCCCTGTTAAATTAGACACATGTGCACGTCTTGGGTATCTTTATTGAGGAAATGTTTCGCCACACAGTGGCTTCATCAGTCCATACAAAGGATAAACTTGAAGAACAGGAGGAGAATGAGGTAATCAGTCCCTCAACCTTGAGTCGATGTGTGTGTGTGTGTGTGTGTGTGTGTGTGTGTGTGTGTGTGTGTACTCACCTATTTGTGGTTGCAGGGGTCGAGTCTTAGCTCCTGGCCCCGCCTCTTCACCGGTGTGTGTGTGTGTGTGTGTGTGTGTGTGTGTGTACTCACCTATTTGTACTCACCTATTTGTGGTTGCAGGGGTCGAGTCCTAGCTCCTGGCCCCGCCTCTTCACCGGTTGCTACTAGGCCCTCTCTCTCCCCGCTCCATGAGCTTTATCAAACCTCGTCTTAAAACTGTGTATGGTTCCTGCCTCCACTACGTCATTTTCTAGGCTATTCCACTGCCTTACAACTCTATGACTGAAGAAATACTTCCTACTATCTCTCTGACTCATTTGTGTCTTCAACTTCCAATTGTGGCCTCTTGTTTCTGTGTCCACTCCCTGGAACATCCTGTCCTTGTCCACCTTGTCTATTCCACGCAGTATTTTATATGTCGTTATCATGTCTCCCCTGACCCTCCTGTCCTCCAGTGTCGTCAGGCCGATTTCCCTTAATCTTTCTTCATAGGACATTCCCCTTAGCTCTGGAACTAACCTTGTTGCAAACCTTTGTACTTTCTCTAGTTTCTTGACGTTGCTTTATCAAGTGCGGGTTCCAAACAGGTGCTGCATACTCCAGTATGGGCCTGACATACACGGTGTACAGTGTCTTGAATGATTCCTTACTAAGGTATCGGAATGCTGTTCTCAGGTTTGCCAGGCGCCCATATGCTGCAGCAGTTATCTGATTGATGTGTGCTTCCGGAGACATGCTCGGTGTTATACTCACCCCAAGATCTTTCTCCTTGAGTGAGGTTTGCAGTCTTTGGCCACCTAGCCTATACTCTGTCTGTGGTCTTCTGTGCCCTTCCCCTATCTTCATGACTTTGCATTTGGCAGGATTAAATTCGAGAAGCCATTTGCTGGACCAGGTGTCCAGTCTGTCCAGGTCTCTTTGAAGTCCTGCCTGGTCCGCATCAGATTTAATTCTCCTCATTAACTTCACATCATCATGTGTGTGTGTGTGTATGTGTGTGTGTTTGTGCCTGTTTCTTCTTCCACCTGTCACTGTTCACATGTAACACAGACTGGTGTTTTCTCCCCGTCAGGAAAGACGAGACAGGAACAGTGGGCCATGACAATGTTGTACAGCGAAGGTGGCAAGCGGCTTCCCTCCCGCCTGACAGCAGAAACACCAGCAGCAGCAGCAGCAGAGGGAAGAACTGGAGGTGTAACAGCAGGAGTAGCGAGGCAACACTCTCCTCCACATCTCTACCTTCCCAACACTTCACCTGAACCTGCCACCTGCGAGACAACTCTCAAAACCATCTCCACCACTATTAAAACCACAACATAAAACACTAAACTATTTACATTTTATTGCTGCTACTGTTAATAATAATAATAATAATAATAATAATAATAATAATAATAATAATAATAATAATAATAATAATAATAATAATAATAATAATAATGTGATCATAAGCATTACTCTTTTATTAACATCATCTTGACCATCACATGATAATCACAATACAGTTTTCAATCTTCTGTAATATTGTTTATTTATTATTCACCAATGTCTTGAATGTTAATAATAATTTCCCAGGATATTTCTTCATGGTGGAAGACGTAAAACCGAGAGTAGATGTTACTTGCTGTGTTAATACTGACGTAACTGAGAGTGGATGTTACTTGCTGTGTTAATACTGACGTAACTGAGAGTGGATGTTACTTGCTGTGTTAATACTGACGTAACTGAGAGTGGATGTTACTTGCTGTGTTAATACTGACGTAACTGAGAGTGGATGTTACTTGCTGTGTTAATACTGACATAACTGAGAGTAGATGTTACTTGCTGTGTTAATACTGACGTAACTGAGAGTGATGTTACTTGCGTGTTAATACTGGACGTAACTGAGAGTGGATGTTACTTGCTGTGTTAATACTGACGTAACTGAGACTGGGTGTTACTTGCTGTGTTAATACTGACATAACTGAGAGTGGATGTTACTTGCTGTGTTAATACTGACGTAACTGAGAGTGGATGTTACTTGCTGTGTTAATACTGACGTAACTGAGAGTGGATGTTACTTGCTGTGTTAATACTGACGTAACTGAGACTGGGTGTTACTTGCTGTGTTAATACTGACGTAACTGAGACTGGGTGTTACTTGCTGTGTTAATACTGACGTAACTGAGAGTGGATGTTACTTGCTGTGTTAATACTGACGTAACTGAGAGTGGATGTTGCTTGTTGTGTTAATACTGACGTAACTGAGACTGGGTGTTACTTGCTGTGTTAATACTGACGTAACTGAGAGTGGATGTTACTTGCTGTGTTAATACTGACGTAACTGAGAGTGGATGTTACTTGCTGTGTTAATACTGACGTAACTGAGAGTGGATGTTACTTGCTGTGTTAATACTGACGTAACTGAGACTGGGTGTTACTTGCTGTGTTAATACTGACGTAACTGAGAGTGGATGTTACTTGCTGTGTTAATACTGACGTAACTGAGAGTGGATGTTGCTTGCTGTGTTAATACTGACGTAACTGAGACTGGGTGTTACTTGCTGTGTTAATACTGACGTAACTGAGAGTGGATGTTACTTGCTGTGTTAATACTGACGTAACTGAGAGTGGATGTTACTTGCTGTGTTAATACTGACGTAACTGAGAGTGGATGTTACTTGCTGTGTTAATACTGACGTAACTGAGAGTGGATGCTACTTGCTGTGCTAATACTGACGTAACTGAGAGTGGATGCTACTTGCTGTGCTAATACTGACGTAACTGAGACTGGGTGTTACTTGCTGTGTTAATACTGACGTAACTGAGACTGGGTGTTACTTGCTGTGTTAATACTGACGTAACTGAGAGTGGATGTTACTTGCTGTGTTAATACTGACGTACCTGAGAATGGATGTTACTTGCTGTGTTAATACTGACGTAACTGAGAGTGGATGTTACTTGCTGTGTTAATACTGACGTACCTGAGAATGGATGTTACTTGTTGTGTTAATACTGACGTAACTGAGAGTGGATGTTGCTTGTTGTGTTAATACTGACGTAACTGAGAGTGGATGTTGCTTGTTGTGTTAATACTGACGCAACTGAGAGTGGATGTTACTTGCTGTGTTAATACTGACGCAACTGAGACTGGGTGTTACTTGCTGTGCTAATACTGACGTAACTAAGACTGGGTGTTACTTGCTGTGTTAATACTGACGTAACTGAGAGTGGATGTTACTTGCTGTGTTAATACTGACGCAACTGAGACTGGGTGTTACTTGCTGTGTTAATAATGACGTAAATGAGAGTGGATGTTACTTGCTGTGTTAATACTGACGCAACTGAGACTGGGTGTTACTTGCTGTGTTAATACTGACGTAACTGAGAGTGGATGTAACTTGCTGTGTTAATACTGACGTAACTGAGAGTGGATGTAACTTGCTGTGTTAATACTGACGTAACTGAGACTGGGTGTTACTTGCTGTGTTAATACTGACGTAACTGAGAGTGGATGTTAATTGCTGTGTTAATACTGACGCAAAATGAGAGGAGGAACATAGCAGCCTCAATGACCTGCTTCACACTGCCAGAAGGTCGACACTGCCAAATGTCGACACTGCCAGAAAGTCAACACTGCCAGAAAGTCAACACTACCAGGAGGTCGACAATGCCAAATGTCGACACTGCCAGAAAGTCAATACTACCAGAAAGTCAACACTGCCGAAGATCGACACTGCAAGAAGGTCAACACTATCAGAAGGTCGACACTGCCAGAAAGTGGACACTGCCAAAGGTAGACACTGCCAGAAGGTCGACGCTGAAAGAAGGTCGACACTGAAAGAAGGTCGACACTGCCAAAAGGTCGACACTGCCAAAAGGTCGACACTGCCAGAAGGTCGACACTGCCAAAATTGACACTGCCAGAAACCTGTTTGGCTGCAAGACATTCGTTAGAAATTTTGACACAAAATGCCTTAAATAAAATTGTAAAACGAAGAGTTTAATGAATCAAGATGAGCTGTACTGAGTACTAACAAGATATATATAAGCTGTACTGAGTACTAACAAGATATATATAAGCTGTACTGAGTACTAACAAGATATATATAAGCTGTACTGAGTACTAACAAGATATATATAAGCTGTACTGAGTACTAACAAGATATATATAAGCTGTACTGAGTACTACCAAGATATATATAAGCTGTACTGAGTACTAACAAGATATATATAAGCTGTACTGAGTACTACCAAGATATATATAAGCTGTACTGAGTACTACCAAGATATATATAAGCTGTACTGAGTACTACCAAGATATATATAAGCTGTACTGAGTACTAGCAAGATATATATAAGCTGTACTGAGTACTAACAAGATATATATAAGCTGTACTGAGTACTAACAAGATATATATAAGCTGTACTGAGTACTAACAAGATATATATAAGCTGTACTGAGTACTAACAAGATATATATAAGCTGTACTGAGTACTAACAAGATATATATAAGCTGTACTGAGTACTAACAAGATATATATAAGCTGTACTGAGTACTAACAAGATATATATAAGCTGTACTGAGTACTAACAAGATATATATAAGCTGTACTGAGTACTAACAAGATATATATAAAGCTGTACTGAGTACTAACAAGATATATATAAACTGTACTGAGTACTAACAAGATATATATAAGCTGTACTGAGTACTAACAAGATATAAGCTGTACTGAGTACTAACAAGATATATATAAACTGTACTGAGTACTAACAAGATATATATAAGCTGTACTGAGTACTAACAAGATATATATAAGCTGTACTGAGTACTAACAAGATATATATAAGCTGTACTGAGTACTAACAAGATATATATAAGCTGTACTGAGTACTAACAAGATATATATAAACTGTACTGAGTACTAACAAGATATATATAAGCTGTACTGAGTACTAACAATATATATTTAAACTGTACTGAGTACTAACAAGATATATATAAGCTGTACTGAGTACTAACAAGATATATATAAGCTGTACTGAGTACTAACAAGATATATATAAGCTGTACTGAGTACTAACAAGATATATATAAACTGTACTGAGTACTAACAAGATATATATAAGCTGTACTGAGTACTAACAAGATATAAGCTGTACTGAGTACTAACAAGATATATATAAACTGTACTGAGTACTAACAAGATATATATAAGCTGTACTGAGTACTAACAAGATATATATAAACTGTAACTGAGTACTAAC